AAAACTAAGTTATCCCATTTATGTTTTCTTTATTTTTCTTGGTGTAAAAAAAAAAAAAAAAAGATTAATTTGTTCCCCCATTATCCAAAATAAATCAATTCTCAATGTGTATATACATATATATATATATGATAGTTGGTGTTTATATTTAGAGGTATTATAATAACAGTTTGTGAAATAATTTTACCTAAAAAGAGTTTTTAGGTAAAGTGTTATAATATTTGGTAAGCTTATGTGTAAACTTAATCTACCAAATCCACTTTCACCCTTTGTTGTTACATGGGTTATCATTGTTGTTTTTGATGTCCTACTCATATTTTCAACTCATTTTGTATTTATCCGAATTCAGATAATAGTTATTCGAAAGGAAAAGTAAAAGAATAGACTATATTTTGATTTTGGTTCCGTAGATAACTAACATACAAATATGATCAATACAACAAATGTTATGTTTTAATAATGTGAATGATCTTGAGATTGCGCAATTTTAGTCAGATCATAAATTTTTTTTTTAATGAAAGAATTATCCACCTACTAATTAAATAATTATCATTTTTAATATATTACTTGATATTTTTAAAATGTATATGTTTTCATAATGTCCATTCAATATCTAATGTTTTAATTTGATTGAGTTTTAAACTGATCCAGTATATGCATCAACAGGAATCACAAACAGGAATCACACAAGGGTAGATTGATACAATATAAACTTCTGGTAAAATGTCCCCCCGGTAACCCAGCAGATAAAGTACATTACACAGTCTGTTTTAGGGATTGACGACTTACCCATTCAGTAACTTTGGCACTGAACGTGCTCAAAATAAAATTGGTACTATGAGGTCGGGTGAATTCAATCATAGACGTCTGGTGGCATTTCAGCCTTCTTTCTTCTTTCAGGATCTATCCGAAAGAGAATGCAGTACTTATTGATCGTGAATATTTATGTCTCTATTCAATACTATTTAATCACTTTGTGTTATAGTACATGGTTATTTTTTTATTAGTTGTTAATTTAGACACGAACATGACTCTTTGAAATAAAATTCAGAGTTGCTGGTTTATTTGAGTATCATATTTATAACTTGTGGATCAAAATTTATTGGAGCAACCCAAAAAGAGTAAACAACATTAAAAATGAAAATTTAAGGAGTAAGAAATATAGGCAAGTGGGTTTTGAAAGAAGGGACCAATGAATATATGAATGATAAGTGGAAAATCAGTCTTTCACCGCCCATATTTATGGCCTGCAGATCCACCCAACCCCCTCCTTCCATGCCCCCCCTTTTCATTTATTAATACTTTCAGATTCAAATCATGACCACATAACCAAACTTTTCTTATTTGAATTTAATAATACACTAAAAAAAGTACTAAATTATTACAAATAATAAATTAAGAAAAGACTAATGGGTCACCTTCAAAAATGAGATTAGTGACCCAAGAAGCCTTTGCTTTGAATGTTTTCAAAGTGATCGTTAGGTCCCTCTCGTACCCTTCTGTTTATTTTGCTTTTGTTTTCAGCAATTCATAATGTATCTCTAAAATCCAAGCTTAATGATTTATAAAATAGAACTTAAATGCAAGATTCTTACTTTTATTTTTTTCCTGTGCAAGAAAGAAAATAACCCAGTAAAAGTGATAGCCTCTCAAATCTCTACCATTTTCTCCTCTTCTAATACCATAATAAAAACCCTAACTTTCTCTTCATCAAGTAGATGATAGAAATTTGATAAAAGATAGAAAGATCTTTCAAGACTTTTTGTTTTTAAAGAAAAAAAATGAAAAGTAAATAAAAGAAAGAAGAGAGAAGAAAGGAAATTCAAATCTTTAAAAAATTATTTAAAAAAAAAAATCTTTTTCATCATTTTAAGCAAATACCCAATAAAGATTAAGATAGAAGAAGAACAAGATAGTGGAGGTAAGCAAGTATTATATTTGTACCAGTAAATAATATGACAAGGAGTTGTTAGGCACGTAGCTGGCACAGGGTTGTCTAGAGGTCAGCTAACGTTTCTCCCTCGTTTCCCCATTTTTCTTTTCTCTCTCGATCTTATTACTTCAACTTCCTTTCTTCCTGTCTCCTCCCCCATTGGCTTCTGTTATTCTACTTTTGTTCTACCTCCTTGATTGTACAATCTGGGTCTACTCTGATTCATGGGTTTGGATCATTAACTTCTAGGGTTCTCTTTGTCTCTCTATACAGCCAAAATTTACACTTGCTGTCTTACCGTGCATTGACCCGGTAATGAAGAAAATCTGAGCAAGGACAAACTGAAAATTGTAGAGAAGAAGTGGGCTATTAACAGAAAAGAGCATTGTCAGATTTGGGAGAAAAGATCTTGGAGAGAGGACAGTGGAAATGAGCGCGTCGAGGTTCATCAAGTGCGTGACGGTCGGTGATGGCGCCGTCGGCAAGACCTGCTTGCTGATTTCCTACACCAGCAACACTTTCCCTACGGTCAGTCATCCCCACATTCCGTAGTTTCCTTCTTTTTTGCTTTATATTCCTCATTCTTACTCTTCGTTTTTCTTTTTCCTCTTTTGTTGGTGATATTCTACTTCGAAGAAGCAAGTTGCTTTCTGGTTTTTATTTCTATTGCGACGGTAGATGAGTATGAGAAGCATTTCGTAAGAGAAAGAGAATTTTTTTTTTTTTGGTGCTGCATGCTAATCAAGTTATTAAGAGCCAAATTTTCGTATTCCGATCGGCGTAAAAAAGGAAAAAAATTGGTGAAGTGACTTCTATGCACATTTGTTGCTTTTCTTTTCCTTTGGTGTAGGAAGGGTCTTATTTAGTTCAGAACTTATTGGAAAGTTTCCATTTACTCAAAATTGATTTTGGAAATGTAGTTTTGACATATCAGATTGGTTTGATTCTGTCAATATCTCAGTCCAGTTTTGTGATCAATCGCTTGCATACTCTCTAGACTAGTATCTAGAAAGTTTTAGTAGTATTTTTCGGCTAACAAGTGGAGTTTTTTCCTTTTGTTGGTCTCCATACTTGTGTCAAAATTTGACAATCTGGAAAGGTTTTTGTTGTATATTGCCTTTGCTGCTGTGGACTAGTGTAATTACATTACCGAATAGAAGTTATTTTGCCACCCAACTCTTTCTGTTTTTATTGGGTTGTCTGCTTTGGATAGTTTAATATGGAGAAACTAATTATTGAGTTAATTGTTGTCCTATGATGAGGAAACAGGACTATGTGCCAACTGTTTTCGACAATTTCAGCGCAAATGTGGTGGTTGATGGGAGCACAGTCAATCTGGGTTTATGGGATACTGCTGGTAATTTTTAATCACCTTTTAATTTCCTTTTTTATTTGGAAGTGAGGACACATTCTTATTCCGGATTTGAACTATATTTCATTTGAACAGGTCAGGAAGATTATAATCGATTAAGGCCTTTAAGCTACCGAGGAGCGGATGTTTTTATCCTTGCATTCTCTCTTATTAGCAAAGCCAGCTATGAGAATGTAGCCAAGAAGGTTTTGATTAATGAATACTCATTCTTTAAATGGTCTTTTCATTCATGTAAGATGTATACTTTTTGTGTTTGCTAACAAATTATGTTTGGGCTTCCATCTCAGTGGATTCCGGAACTCAGGCACTATGCACCTGGCATTCCAATCATTCTTGTTGGAACAAAACTTGGTAAGTTAAAAACAAAAATGAAAATAATATCTTCCAATTAATCATAATTCTCTTTCTTTTGCCTTTGCTTGTAATTGATTGTGGGCTGCTAGTTTTACTCATAGACACCTGGTAAAGTTAGGAGTTCTCAGTGCTACTATATATTAATTACCATTTCCCACTGTCTGGAACCATGATTTGGTTGGTTCTTCAGATCATGTTTTCAGTTTGATTAACAATGTTCAATGATCTCTTCTGGAGTTGATCCTGACCCACACTTGTTCTTGGCATAATGTCTTCTGATCCACTTTGGTGAACCATCAGACTGGTGTATGATTGAACTTTAACAGTATTCTGTAGCTTCCAGAAGTTCTTCAAATTCTCTTATTTTTCTTGGTCAACTTTTTGTTTTAGTAGGGCATTAGAAAACCCTCCTTTGTTTTTTTTTTTTTATCTTAAAAAACTTCTTTCCCCTTCCCATTGTCCATAGTAATGTGCTTGTTTCCATGAGAAAGCCGGGTCATCTTTTGCTACTTATTCACTGTTTTGTAGAGATCTTCCCAAAACTGACCTGGATAATGCCCTTTTATCGCCTGAGACTCACTATTTTGAATAGTTCTCTCTATCTCTTGCTTGTAAATATAATCTCTGAATAGGCCAAGTACTACTGGCAAGGACTTGTCTGAAACTTGTGTCACTTATTATAGCCAATAGCTAACTTGGTTCACTTCTGCAGATTCAAATTCTAAAAATGGTCTTTTCTCTCAAAAAAGAAAGTAAAAAAGGAAAAAAGTTTTTGTTCATTTTCCTGCAATTTTTCACTATTCTCGGAAAGACAGTCTTTATTATTTTTGTTATTTATAGATCTTCGGGATGACAAGCAGTTCTTTCTAGACCATCCTGGTGCTGTGCCAATCACTACTGCCCAGGTAAATGAAGCAAGTTTTCTTTGACATCCTCTTTATTTGGTCCAAAATACAAGTATTTAGCAAGTTCGCTATGGCATTTTTTTCTTTGATGAAGGGAGAGGAACTAAGGAAAGTGATTGGAAGCCCTGCCTATATCGAGTGTAGTTCAAAAACACAACAGGTATACGTGCTCCTCCTTAATACTAGTCATTTCTTAAGAATTTGTGCCGCTGATTTTATAGTTGACGGAATTCTTTACTGCAGAATGTGAAGGCAGTTTTTGATGCAGCAATAAAGGTGGTGCTTCAGCCTCCTAAGCAAAAGAAGAAGAAGAAGAAATCACAAAAGGCTTGTTCTATCTTGTGATCAAGTAGGGTGTGGAAAATGGAAGGATGGCGTGTCAGTATCTAATGGACCGCGGTGTAACCTTTTACCTCTTTTCTCTTTTTCTTCAAGGAAGCAGCAAGCAGTGGTGTATAGTCTCGACTGACCATCTAGTGATTTCTTTCAAAGCGTCAGATGGTTTGTTTAAGGTTTCATTTTGTGATCTATAATTGATGACCGGTGTTTCTTGTTTAACACGCACACCTTTTGCCTTCGATGTTTGAATTTGTCTCTCCTATTAACCAGATGTGAAGAAGATTCCTATTGTGAAAGAACCATTTTGCTGTCATGAACATAACTAGATTAATGTTATATCTCTATAGTTCTTTGAACCTTGGTTTCATCACTATCTTTTTATTATTTTAAGGATATAAGAATGCGCAGGCCATGTGATTAAGCTAGTGATTGCATATGCCACTATCAATTGATTTTGAAATCTGCTCATATTTGGTGTTCCTGATTGACATTGACACAAATAGTTTTATCATTTGAAAGTGGAGGGTGACTCATAAAATGCCTCCACTGTGCGTGTTAATCAGTTGGAAAATGACTCAGATGCTTGAAAATGGAAGGATGTCGAATAGATTTTCAAGTACTTTGGTAGGAAGAGACTGAATTGGAACCGCCATATCTGCTGATTATCCTGCAAAAAGTTATTCCATTATTCTAGAAAAAACATTAAGAATAAAGGTATCTTAGGATACAGTTTATATTACTAAAAACTTCAAAAGAATTGTTCTTTTCGGTAACATTACAAACTTTATTGGTCCGCCAGAAAAATGATTACAAAGATACGTACACCCAAAAGCAACAAAGAAAAAATAATTGATGGAACCCGCCAACAGCAGTTTGAAAATAACTCACGATCCTTTCGATTTGTCATGACTAATTCAAACCAAAACTACCACTTTCCATGATTTTGAAAAGGACCAGGATCCCATGAGGATTCAAATTTGAAATCATACAAATGCAATGTCATTTTCTCCCTTTTCCCAAAATCAGTACCCCAGGAATAATGCAAGATAGAAAATTCCATATGATGCAACCGAACGTGAACTAACCCTCCACACGTTTTGATGAATGAAAACTTCACAGAATAATTTAAACCTCCTGCTCTTCCAAAGCAATCAAGACCATCCTCTTGTTTCTGGCAATTAATTCACAAGCTCCGACAGATCATACCTTGACTGATTCATATTTCTCACCTATTGCACCTCCTTTCTGTTTCTGGAACTGAATGTATCGAATTGTACTGGAAAAGAAAGCATCTGATGGAGGACTCGAGGTTGTGGAGTCACTTTGCATCTCAGTATGAATCAATTCGATCAGCCCCTGTATTGCAGCACTAGTGATCTGTGGATTTCCTTTCTCGAAGAAATAAAGGTACCTGAAGATATTCACGCACTCAATTATCAACATATAAATGAAGAAATAAACATAAACCGACTCAAGATACAACTCGTAGCTACTGACTTATTCAGTATTTCAACAAACAGTGTGACTGGTCCACTGCTACCCCGTGCAACACTGGCCATCTGTTGTGCAGCATTTGCAATCCTCAGGGCACGCTTTAGACAAAGTAGGACCCTGCAACAACATAAATACTGCTATGTCATATCCTCTTGATTAGCAAAAACAAACTCAAATAGCATATCAATACCCAAAATGTTAAGATCATTTCAGAGAATAACTGATGCACAGGAGAAACCAGGGACATAGACTGAAGCCCGTAAGCAAATTGAAGCAAGAACTTTAGGATGAATCTAATGACATCAGTTAAGATCGTGCGCACCTTTCCCCATCCTTAATGTCATCTTGATCATCAACCCAAAAGAGATGAGAACATGCATAAACTGCCCTGCACTGATCTGGCTTCTTCAAAAGCTTCGCTGAATACTGATCAAAGTTTGACATCATTTACACTTTAGCAAAAACAGATCAAGGAAGTACAAAAATCAAACACAGCAAACACTGTTACCCCTGTGGCCTTGTGTGTGAGAGTATCCCTGTTCTCAACTCCAAACACATTCATCCTCTGTAGAGATCCAATTATTAAATGAATTGCAGTGACTTGTGACTTTGAGTCCTAAAAATGGAAATGGAAGACACATGAAAATACAAATCAGGAAGGAATGAATACCATCTACGGCATAACTTTCTTCACGGAAATGATAAAGAATATGGGATAAAGGAAATTAATCAAGGAAAATACCGCAATTTCTTCTTCATAGAGAATAAATGCCTGGGTGAAAAAATCATAAGCTACATGCTCAAGATCGCAGTCATTAGCAGCCTGATTGTCAACACCAAATTAGATGCAAATTATGATCAAGTACAACGGGAAACATCCTTATTGCTCCACATACAGCTTCCTATAAACGAAATTGTTTGCTGATGCATGGATAATCACTATGGTACTGATAGAAGGCAGTTATCATCTATGGCAATTAACATGCACAACATTTAAAAAAAGACAAGTGACAACCTTAGCATTTAAAATGAGATTTTTTAAGAAAGATCATAGAATATTTATTTTCAAAAAAATATTGGGACTTGCACACAGTCATTCTTATGAGCCATCATTGTGCAATGGGAGTAACAGTCTTGGATTACCTCCGCACATTGGAGGTACAACCTTAATGCCAGCTCAGGGGATGGAACAGATGAAAGAGCCTCGATTGTCTGAAATGGTAGCCAAAGGAATGCACAACGAAAATGAGATATAAAACATATGAGACAATATCCTGCAAACTAAAGGACAATAATGATATGTGCAAAATAGTTTTAACATCCAGATCGCAAGGGGAAAAGAAAGATACTTGAGATAAAATTATGTCCAGACTGGTACCAAATTTTTAAAAGAAAAAAAATCTAACCTGAAATAGTAATTAGAATTTTCATCCCAACAAGTCCGAACACTAGACAATTGCATGAGATGCTTCATTTACTTAGCAGACATTATAACATATTACAGTAGACTAACCTGATTCAGGAGCTGAAAGATTTCCTTCGGTGTTGTAGGCACTTCTCCCCCAACTAGATCTCCATCCTGAGCTTGCAGTTGCCTAACTAACTATATAGACAGCACATAAAATAAAGCATTTAAAATTAAAATCCATTTTCAAAATAGCATTAGTTGCAACTTCAGTAAACAAGAGACAGCAATACTATAACTGCATCAGGTTCAGCAAATCACAATGCTCACATCACCTCCTAAGTACATGCTTCCGACATTAAACAATAACAGTGTTCATGGGAAAGGACAAATGGACATAAGTCAAAGTCATTTCTTAAGAGAAATGTAAAGGAAAAACATGATCTTGATGGTTTAAGAATGTCTTTTAAACAAATATATACCTACTTATTTGACTTCCAATATTGTTTCAGATTTACTTAGGAAAAGGACCAATGCATTTAAACCTTAAGTAACCCCTTTCATCAAATATATATGAATTAATCACCACTGAAGAAAATTATTTGTTCACAATCTTAAGTACCATTAATAGAAACATGCAAACAAAAATCCAGACAGAATTTGCAGACTTATTTTTTTTTGGGCTTAGTGAATGGTCCCATGAACTTTCAAACGTTCAGATACTCTAGCAATGGATACAATGACAATTGCACTCCACAATCTGGAAAGGGAAGAAATATACCCTGAGTGCAATAAAAACAAGAGAAGGAACTGTGAACGGTAGGCGTTTTGGTCCTCCAATCAAAATGTGCTTCCTCACAGTAGATATGATCTGAGTATCAGTAAATTGTAGAAAACAAGAAATTAGTTTCTGGCTTTCAACAAAGAAGATAAAAATAAGACGAGTCCACAAGTAAATTGAAGAAAAAGTTCAACTAATGTACCATAAAAGAAAATGGCCTAAAGTCTCAATTCTCCAGGGTTCAAAGAGAAAATAAGAGAGTCCTAATGTATATTGCTTGCTGGGAACATGAATATTTACTATTTTAAAGAATCTTCAAATCTTGATCCTCAGTTACAAATCAGGAGATTGTGCACTCGCTATTTCACATGAAAAGTGGACCTCTCTACCTTTACCTTTGGTATCCACTGACTACACACCCAATAAAATACTCAAGAGGGAAATGTAGTCATACTAAAATGTTATTCCTTTAAAAGGTTCAAGAATATTGGCATTAACCATCATACAGCAGCAACTTTCAACACATTAATTACTTACCTTCAACATTTCTTCTGGTTCATCATTATAAAGCATGTGTATGAGGCGAGCTACAGAATTTTGCTCCTCCTTGAAATCCTCCTCATCTAGCTATTACAGGGATAAACATACGGGAAAAATGCCAAATCATAAGGTCTTGTGATAGGCATTGATCAAAACAACTAAGAGAAAATCCCCAAAACCAAGATAGGAAAAAATAAACCTAAGGTAGAAAAAATGTATGAACCTCATCTGAAGCTGTTCCATCCAAATCCTTGATGAGTCCCTTAATCAATTCAAAGAGCACTTCAACCTGGAAAAACATATCAACCATATGTTCAATGGCACCATAATCTATATGTGTTAAAAAAAAGCTATAACCATACCTTATCAGCAGTTGAAATACATGTGTTGTTTTTCATAATGCTTTGAATAATAACCATTGCCATGACTTTATTTGTTCCGTTATCAAGATGGTCCATGACACGCGGATAATTAGAAAGAGTTAGTGCTGTGACAATATCATTGTATTTATCCAATGGGGCACTTAAAAGTGCAACAACTTGTTTTGTTGCCCGAGCATCCTCAAGCTTGGGTATGCTGGATAGCTTCTTGACGCATGCTCCCTAAAGAATATTGGACAGCCGTAAGACTTCAAAGATGAGAGTCAATTCAATACATTTGGAAGAAATGGTACATATGCATGCTAAATAGCAGATAAGTTTGTCAAAGCTATGCACTTGTGAGTCAAAACATAAACTTACAGGAAACACACAAGTTCATTATAATCCAAGCCTGAAGAGAAACATACCAATATTTGATCCACATAATCAAGCCGATCAGGATGCACACGTAGAGTAAAGGTAAGAAGAGAGACGTACAAACTTATAGCTCCAACAATAGGCATGTCAACCTGTGCTTCTATCACCTGCACTTGAATTGTAATCAATCAATCTGTAGAGAATAAGTTTAAACATACCAAAAATAATCAAATTAAGCAATTGGAAAATGAAAGCAGCAACAACTTATGGATTTATGTCATCAATTCACTCAAGCCACGTGATACCAGATGAATAGTAGCTAGATAAAAGCATGATGCAAACTAATGTATCCTTTTCTTGCATTATTTATTCCTGAAATATGTGCAATGGTCAATGCTACGAAGCCATTGTATGTGTCAAGTGAAGTAAGCATTTTGAGTCCCTAAAATATTGGGTAATGCTGTATCTTGTTTTTGGGTTGGGGACCAGGGCTTTGGGCTGTGGATTTATTACCAGGTTGAGAAAGTAGAAGATGATCATCGAAAATATGGAAGGTAGATGATTCTGGTTCTAATACATTGCTTTGTTGCCGGTTGCCAAGTCCTTAATTTGTTAGAGCATGAAGGAATCAAAATTAACCACTTGTATGACTCTCAACTTAGTTTGAAACCAGCAATTGTTATTGGACAAAAAAATTGTTAGCTTAACCAACAAGAAGGTAGCTATTGACCATGATGATTAGCATAAGAATATGATTAAAGACCACAAGTTCCATTTTTACCCTATTCTTCAATTATTAATTAGCTGATTTGATGATCTGATTCCAGTTGCACCTTCAGTTTTAATATGGTCATAATTGACACATATTGGCAGTAAACAGATCCCTTTGAGATTGACAGCATTATTTCTTTTCAACTTATCCATGGAAATGATGCAATTATTAAAGAATTTTAGTTTCTCAACTGATCATGTCCTTGTACTTGATATCAAGAAAAGTAAGAACCATTTATACCATTGCATAATCATCTCTGCTAGATGTGTACCTGATAGTTAGTGGTGGGTAGGGAAAGGCGTGTGTAGCTGGTAAATTTTATCTTATATATCTTAACGTGATG